GTATTTGTGACATCTGCAGATTTAATTTATGTAGCTAAGATTGTGTGATTTTTTTTTTTTAAATGGTGACATGGCTAACAGAAGATTTTCAATTTACAGAGTTTGAACTTAGGTTTATGTTTTAGTATGTCTGTTGTGTACCAAAAATTTCTTTTAGATATACTGAGGTATATTTTTTTATAGACTTGTAATTTTTAGACTGTCCCTCCCTGTTTCCCTGTTTAAATAGTATCAGCCTCATCTATCTCTACAGAAGTTTTGTTTTGTGGTTCATGTACTGTATGGACACAGGAAATTTCCCTTTAAATCTTAAGAACCTTTAATAAGCAGGGTAGAAGAGGAGTTCATTACAAATTAGAAGCAAATAATGACTGTTGGGAATTTACTGTTACATTAACATGAAGATTTCTGTTTTGCCATCCGGCATAAAGATTGCATGATGATTGAAATGTTTATTAACTTTAACTCTTAGTAGATCACCTTATTTTCATTCTGATTTTTGGTTATCTAGAAAAATTCTGGTTTATGTATTTTAAAAACTAAGCATCATTTTAATGGCATTGCATTTATTTATTTTTAAAGATTTATTCATTTGAGAGAGAGCCCAAGGTGGGGGAGGGGGAGGGGCAAAGGGAGAGGGAGAGTCTCAGGCAGACTCCATGTTGAGCACAGAGCCTGAGGGGGGGCTTGATCTGAAGACCCTGAGATCACAATGGGACCCGACACCAAAAGTCAGTCTCAACCGATTGTGCCACCCAGGCGCTCCATGTCATTGCATTTAAAACAATGCTTTCCTATGAAATTTCTCATGTGCAATATACATTAACTACTAGAATGTCAAACAATGAAATCATTGACATATTTAAGGAAAAATTACTTCTAGAAAGTAATTAGTACTCTGGTTAGGCATATTTGCTGAAATGCTAAAAATGTCTAATTGAGAACATTTTGAGTTTTTGGTAAGGTGAATGTGAATTTATTTTTGAGTTGGGAATTTGCAGTGGAGAAGTACTCTGATAAAGACAGTTCCTTCATGATACTTCAAAGATGGAAAAGAAAAATTTCCAACTTGGAACTTTTAAAGTGAAACTTTTTAAAATTGAAACTTTAACAAGGCACTTCATGAAATTTTTAGTTTTTAATTTTATATATGATTTCATTCTTCAGAGCTACTTTTATTAACTTTAGCTTAGATCCTTACATACTAAGCCTTCAGTATTTCTCTACTTGGTTTTTCTATACCTAGTTTTAATTATAGCAAGTAATAATAAAGTCAGTCAGTCAGGCAAGAGTATTTATTAATTTCGGTGGGTCCTTGAAAGGCAGACAGATTTCTGTTTCAAGAATCTTTTGACACAAGGTGAAAACAGTTCTTTAGAATCTTACTACCAGTATTTGCTTATTTGGAATAGCTTTCACATTTGAAAAAATTCAGTGTCAGTTTAACCATGTAACATCAAAATAAAATTTTGTTGAAGGCTATCCTTGTCTTAATTATTCTGGTATAAAGTATAACAATACATTTGTAGTAGCTTAGTATAAGATTATAATATATATTCTTCAAATTAAATTTAGCCACTGCTAAGGAGCAGTGGCTCTCACTGCATGTGTCAGCATCACCTGCAGGGCTTGCTGCCCCCCCTCCCCACAGTGAGTAGGTCTGGAGGGAGGCCTGGGAATTCGCATTTCTAACAAGTTTCCTAGGAATGCCCCTGGTGCTGGTCCCATGGCCACACTTTTGAATACTTATCCTGAGGAAAGAGCACTAACTCTGAAGCTGGATTTTCCCTTTTACCCGTTAACAAAACTGATTTTGGGGGAATTATTTCATCTGAAATAAAATAGTGAAGCCAGAAGTGCTCAGCCCCTTGTGCCTGGGTGCTTTATAAATGCTGACTTCCTTGATTAGTGCCCCATCACTATTCTCAAGTGGAAAGTGAGGAGTTCTATCAGTGCCTTCTAAATTCTTCCTAGCTCTCAAATCCTGTGATTCTAGAAGTTCTCTAGTTCAAGAGAGAATGCCAAACACCATATATATGTGTGGTGCTTAATAGAATAGTAATAACAGTAATACTGTGTAGACCATAGTTCCATTTTGCTTTTTTTTTTTTTTTAAGATTATTTATTTGACAGAGAGAGATACAGCGAGAGAGGGAACACAAGCAGGGGGAGTGGGAGAGGGAGAAGCAGGCTTCCCGTGGAGCAGGGAGCCCGATGCGGGGCT